TTAAACTGTGATAATAATAAAAAAATGTTGCTTGAGCATCAAATCACCATGTGAAAATGATTTCTGAAGGATCATGTGACACTGAAGACTGGAGTTCAGGTTTGCATCACAGGAATAAAATACATTTTAGAATACATTAAAATAGAAAATTTTAATAATATTTCACAACATTACTATTTTGACTGTATTTTTTATCAAATAAACACAGCCTTGGAGAGTATAAGAGACTCAAAAGCATTAAAAATCTTACTAACCCCAAACTTATGAATGATATTTTATATGAGATGTAAAATAATGTATATAGAAAATAAGTTTTACTATTAACTGCATGAAACAAAACCTGCCCCTTTTTCCACAGAATAGGAGTCTTTCCATCAGATTAGTTTAAATGTGCTTATCTTAGGTTGTTTACCACCATCTGATTGTGAATCCAGATTTGCTTGTAAGCCACTGCAACTAGGGGCTTTGACAGATTATGAGAACATCATTAGACAAGATTACAGGAGATTATAAACACTAGTGTACTCATACCACCCAGGATGCCCTCCGAAAACCTCAGCTCCTGGAGAACAATACAAATATACTCAAGAGACCACACATCAACCTCAAAACCAAACCTCCACAATCACCTACACCTCTACGAGTACAAGAGCAATGATTAACCAAACAGTTAATTTGCTTATTTGAAATAGATAATGTGTAAATACAACTTTAATGTAACATGAGAGAATATTAAACTGTATTATTATGGACACAGCGTAATCATAAGGGTAGAATTAAATGGCAAAATAAGAGAAAATCTTTCATGCATTGAAAATATCGCAGGAAGCTCATTGCCCTGTGACAAGCACCCGGGGTATTCATAATAGGGGATCCCAAGGTGCTCTTTATCAGGACTCTCCAAATGGTTGGGAAAGAGATAAGGCCTGAGGCGCATGTAAGCCAGTGTTCATTCTCTACGCCTGCAGCCTCTTGTGACACAGTCTTGTATGTAATCTCTTGTAGTACACGTTCAATTGAGAGCACATCAATGGGTTTTTTTATCCAAAACACAGTTATCAGCAAAATTAGTCACATCACTAAATGTCAAAAGACATCTTACCAAATGCCACGGATGAAGACATGCAGAGAAAAATGCATGGGAACTGCAGTACAGCTGAGATCCAATGTGTCTTTTTATGCAGCCGGAGATGTTTGCAGGAGTAAAAGAAAAGAGTTGTGCAACATTCAGAACTGAAAAACATAAACTGACTTACTTTCAATTAATGAGCCAGGATTTGAATTTAATTTAAAAGGCCACACTCCACAGGAAGTTGAACTGCAAAAACAGGAGGAGGAATTTACTGCATTGCAATTTAAAGAAATTCCACACAGGTAATGCATTCTGGGAAATGAAGTTCCACCCTAGTCCACAAAAGTTTAGCTCCTGAAGCAGTCACAGCACTACATCAGCAGGCACTCAGCAGATGCTAAGATATCTCCCCTGAGGAACACACGCCATGTTCACCACACCTGGACCACGCTGATGGATCATAATTCTACCCAGATCAGGAGAACGAGCAAGCCAGCAGAACCAGATCTTTCCTGCCTATGACTGGTCCACCTGCTCTGCCTCCTCATCTCGCTCAAATGCACTTTAAAGAATTTAAGGACATTATATGCAAGTGTCTGAGTTGAAAATTTGTCTATAATAAAATCTACAATGATGTTAAAATGGACGGTTATTGTTTAATTAGTCAAGGAATTTGTTTAACTGTGTCAGTTTAGCCTCTTTCATACTTAATCAATATTGCAAACCCTTTATTATTTGATTTATTATTTTTCATTTTATTATTTTTCATTTCATTGTTGTAAATAAATATTGGTGTGTTCAAAATCGTTTACTTTCCCTAATTTTCAGTCGCCATTCAGTATTGTTAGTTCTTTTGTATTAGCTTATTTCATGATGTCCTCATTTGAAATAGCTTTGTACAATAAGGGGATTAATGAGCATATTCATGAATGTATTTTAATTTGAAGCAATCAGAGATTAATTATTGCAGATGAGAGTTCATTAAGCTTTGACAACAGTAATTTGATACCGTATTGACATCAGGTCATTGGCCTACACATGCAGCCAAATAAAGATAGATTCATTCAAGTTTGACATGCTGAAATCTTCGGTGCTTAAGCCTAAGAAAATAATATGTAATACAATGAAAACAGTATTGATGGTTTTGTAAAACGAACCGTTGAACGGATATAGAAAATAAGAAAAAATATATAGTGAAGTCTTCATATTGAAAAAAAGTTCTCAAATTTCTGTTTATTAAATTGGAAAGTCAAAGTCCTGCTAGGTAAACGTCATGTCACCAAAGAATAAAAGAGAAATGGTTGTAAATTGAAAAATACTGAAATGGAAAAAAATGGAAAAGCATTGCACAATTCGGGGTAGGGGAGGTTAAAATTGAGCATGTGCTCAGACAAACTGTTCTGTTTTATTTTATTAATACAGCCAGTTAAACGTTCATTAGTTGTAAATTGGTTAAACGCGGGCACGCTCAACTGTTTTTGCCTAAGCTGGCTTGAAGATAATAGCTGAAACAAGTTTGTTCTCAGGTGTCCTAATTCACACGTTACGGGTATAAATTACAAAATTATTTAGGGAATGGAACTGATCCTTTTCTTTTACAGTTTAATTTGTGCAAAGAAATCAAATTCGAAAAATTGTTAAAATGGCATTCACAGAACCGTGACACTTTTTATTCTGTGATGCACTAAATCATCAGGCATTCTGCTTCTTGAGATGCTTTAAATTAAATATCTTTTCTTTGATTAGTAGCAGTTATTAATTTAGTCTAAAATATTGTATTACAAACTCGATTTGCACCGAGCCACACATCCAAGTGCATGAGGCAGAATAAGTTAGTCGCTTTTGCCAGTTCGATAACGTAAAATGCTGAACAGCTAATGGCTGTCCTACCTAATGTGGCTATATGATTTATATTTTATTTTATTTATTATTTTTTAAGATTAATAAAAAGCATTGCACAATTCGGTGTAGGGGAGGTTAAAATTGAGCATGTGCTCAGACAAACTGTTCTGTTTTATTTTATTTTATTAATACAGCCAGTTAAACGTTCATTAGTTGTAAATTGGTTAAACGCGGGCACGCTCAACTGTTTTTGCCTAAGCTGGCTTGAAGATAATAGCTGAAACAAGTTTGTTCTCAGGTGTCCTAATTCACACGTTACGGGTATAAATTACAAAATTATTTAGGGAATGGAACTGATCCTTTTCTTTTACAGTTTAATTTGTGCAAAGAAATCAAATTCGAAAAATTGTTAAAATGGCATTCACAGAACCGTGACACTTTTTATTCTGTGATGCACTAAATCATCAGGCATTCTGCTTCTTGAGATGCTTTAAATTAAATATCTTTTCTTTGATTAGTAGCAGTTTATTAATTTAGTCTAAAATATTGTATTACAAACTCGATTTGCACCGAGCCACACATCCAAGTGCATGAGGCAGAATAAGTTAGTCGCTTTTGTCAGTTCGATAACGTAAAATGCTGAACAGCTAATGGCTGTCCTACCTAATGTGGCTATATGATTTATATTTTATTTTATTTATTATTTTTTAAGATTAATAACAGTTTTAAACCATCTCGTTTATTTGGCAGCTATGGACCCTTAATGTCATCATCTAAGTTGTACATCAAAATCTAAATAAATAAATGTGTAAAAAGATTAAATGCGTGCAAATGAAATTTAGAATGTTTCGAAATGAATAAATTTTTTAGGTTAACTGGAGGTCTGCCTGCTATTATGAATGTAACCTAATAGATAATGCTGCACCGCTTCCAAAAATCGACTCATTTGGGTTAAGTAACCTGTGGAGAAGCATTGGACCTGTTGTCCTTCAAAAATACCCTCTCAAAATATGTTCTGATAGTACAACTGTGCATGGTGCATCATCTCACCTTATGAATTACATTTCTCTGTTGGTTTGTTGAGAACAAATCGGTTGAGTGATTTCCAATTTCCAAAGAACATGATCTAATCGCGCGAATCAGCTGACGTATTGAAGCTGTGGAGACCGCCAAAAAACGCTTTCTGCTTTCACTATCCCGCCTATATTTGTGCCACCATGCCCTTTTTCATCGACATTTCTCAATGATCGAAATTTTAGCGAAAATTTAGCTAATTTTACTGTAAGTGCGCAGAGTAATGGCGTCTTTATAATAAAACAATTAGGTAAAATATGTGCTCTCCCAGAGCAATAAGGGAGAACATGATTATTCATTTACTGAAATTAAAAAATATAAAACGAATAATAAGCTAATAACAATAATAATAATAATAGGTAATCATAATAATACAAAATATTAAAATGTCTTTGAATAAGCGCTGCCATGTTGATAACTCTTTAGTTAAGTGATAGGCCTAGCTTCTTACCGAAGCGAAAGACGGTTTCAAAACTGATCACTCACTCATCAGCAAGCATTATTATTAATGCTTGAAAACGTCGTTGTAATTTATACACAAAATATTTATATTCTATTTAATAATAACAAAAAGAAAAATATCCCATATGTTTAACATTTTATTAAATAAAAGTGCAATACACACGAACCTGCAAGGCGCATTTTGCAGGATTCAAACACTGTTACAAAGTTAAAATATTATAAATTAATCATGAAAAAAATGAAAGAAACATCCTAACACTGGGAAACGAACACTATGCTTTATATTACAAATATATGGTTAGGTGTTTGTTTGTTTATTTACACGTGTTATGGCCAGATCAATCTCTTGACTGAGCCTCAATTTAGGCTGTCGCTCAGATGTTTCCATTGTTGATTATTTTTAAGAATCAAAGAGCTGAGGCAACTTACACCCATAGAAAGAGAAAAAAAACTCAGGGTGATCAGCACCTATACAAATTAATGATATGAAAATGCAAATCACAAAGCCTAAACCAAAAATTTAACTGAAGTGAAATTAACGAATTCTGCCATGTTTACTATTCAAAATATTTTACACATAAATATTCACAGTAATATAATTCCTATGCGATACAACTCACGCCGTTAATTTACAAAAAAAGTACCGTTGTCTATGTGTTGAAACGTGTCTATTGCAGACACAGATGCACGTTCAGCTCCACCAATAGTGCATATTCCTCTGATTTGCATCCTTCCTCTCAAACCAGAGCCCAAACTTGGTGAAAAAAACAGTAGCCTACATTATTTTTTGACACTTCTTGAAGGATTTGACAACCCATTTCCCGTTTCCATTTTATGAGCTCTCGTTTTCCGACGTGTGAATGATAAGAGCTGAATTTGGTTTGTGTTTTTTCAGTAACTGCGTTATTTTTTCATCGTCCGAATTTGGATCTAAAGGTTTGTTGTAGTCGTCGTCGTCGTCTTCATTTTCCGAAGCCCCTTTCAGCCTTTCGGTCTCTGAATCTTGTTTTTTCTTCGCCGAGGCCATTTCAGCCGCGTGCCGTTTTCTCCATTTTGTTCTTCGGTTTTGAAACCACACCTTTACAATGAAAATGAGTTAAAAACGTATTTGAATCCACAGAGAAATAATGATTTATCTCCATCAAAAATAATAAATGGGAATTCATAAAAAATTTCGCCCAGAAACATTTAACAAAATCTGTTTCTCACCATGAGAAACAGATTTTTCCTGCCTAACTTGAAAAAGCTGATATAATAAATAAATAAACAAATAACTTGAGTTATTTATTTAAGAGTTAAAGAGTTTAAGAGTTAAATAGCCTATCTGTAATAGCCTATAGCCTAACCAACTGCAGTGAGAATAAATAAAATATTTTAACAGAAATCAAAATCGAACAGGTTTCTGTATGAAATTAAATTGTTTTATTGCAATAATTGCAATAAACAATTACAGTGGTGCACGTTGCAATTTTTTAAACAAAATCTAATAATGCGTGAATAACTTTGATATGGATGAAAACAATAGGCCGACATTAAGTCGCATTTGGTCGTTGCGTTAAATTTGAATAACCTGATGTAGAGAAATAAATAGTTGTATAGCCTATAAAAGTTGTCAATTAAAGAGATATATAGGAAGGTTTGAATAAACACATTTACTAGGCCGATCCCACATCTAATTCTCTTTATACGTTCCATGGATTAATGATAATAAAGAATCGAGTCAGTCGAGATTTTTCATTGTCATACACAAACTATTAGGACTGTCTTACCTTGACTTGGCTCTCTGTCATTCCTAAAGAGTAGGCCAACCGCGCTCTCTCAGGTCCAGCTAAATATTTCGTTTGCTCGAATGTTTTCTCCAGGGCAAATATTTGCTGCCCGGAAAACGTTGGTCGCGTGTGTTTCCTTTTCCCATCTTTGTCCAGCAGCACTGAGTTATGATCTGTGAAGGGCAAGATTGAAAATTCAGCTAATTTTATTATTAGGCTACATCCTATATATGTTTGTGCTTATCGTAATATTTTGGAACGCTAACAGCCTTCAAGAAAGTTAATCGTGCACTTACGTGGCGAACATGCAAATCTGGCGTCTCTCCAGTGAGGGCTTTGCATAACTCCAGGCCAGAATATCGGGGTTCTGCCTGGAAGGTCTGTCAGAGGTTTCGGATAGCGAGCCACCGCCACGGCCGCGGCACTGGGGCTGAAATACAGCCCTGGAGGTGGCGGAGGGCTCAGGCTGCTGAAACGGGGCAGTCCAGACAAGATTCCAGCGGGAGAAGATGCCGCCGCCGCCGCTCCGGTGAACATCGAGGGTCGACTGAGGATGTCGTTTATTCCGTGAGGTGTGGCGATTGAGCACTGAGCACCGAAAGTCGAAAATCCAGTGGATATTTTGATCCCCGGGGACGAGACCGGGATACCACCTGGATTCGGAGAGGTAGCTGTCGGTGAAGTGGAGGATGCTGGTCCAGTGGAAGATAACGGGTAGGCTGGGTAAAGTGGAGTCTTCATTTCGGTCATACTGTGTAAAGCAGCCAAAGGTGGGGTATTGAGTAGGAAAGCGCTTTGGCGAGACCCGTCCATTTGCCCCACCGCTAACATTACCAAGAAACTACAACTTTAACTAAATATTGCGCAAGAAGCAAGACGGTGGAGACCCGAGCAAAACGTAAAAACAAACGTAGAACAGCCGCGAATGACGGAGAGAAAGGAAAAAAACAAAAAATACTCAAGCCTTTAGAAGAAGAAAAAAAAACTTTTCTCTAAAAAATCCCAATCAGCTATACCGAAGCTTCATACCCATCTCCTCTGGCAAAATCCATTCCCTTCTTTCAGTTCTTGCAAATATGCCATGATAGCCTACAACAGAGCGGTGTCCTTTCAATGAGAGTGTTTTTGAAATCTATAAATAAAAAGAGAGTCTTTCTGGGTAGTTCACATGAAGATCTGGAAGATAATAAAACATTTTCATCAACCTGCTGTCTTTTGCTGCAAAAAGTCAAAACTTTGAGAGCGTGCCTGGGAAAGTAGAGGGGCTCGGTGGGATGTGATTGGCTAAGGCCGGCAGTGACGTGACCCGTGTCAGCTGAGTGTCTGCTGAATTTAGGAGTCTGTCCTCATTGGTTCTCATTTGCACATTAACAGAGCTGCCATCCGACCCGCCATTAAATACAACAAGGGGACAAAATCAATTTAGTAAAATTGAGATCTATTTCTTATATAAAGGGGCATCTGCATGCGTGCCGGTCATGTGAGGCAGTCGGATATTTTATGAGCTTAAAAGTCTCTGTGGACACAGGGTTTAAACACTCCACAGATGAATCACAATACAATCACAGAATGATAAAGCTTGAATAAATTTACTTCAACTTTGAGAACTAAGGTGAATATTTTTCCTACCTCCTCATCAAAACCCTTTCTGCCACTTTTCTCAAATGTATTGGTTTTTGTATTGTTTGGTTTCGTCTGAAAAAAAACTAAATGCCAATTGAATAAACGTGAAATATTAGAAACTCACAGCTGCATTCTTCTGCAGGTTCTGTGTTTCTGCCTCTGTATATAGGCTATGCCAGCCACAGCAGGCTGTATCTACAGTATATCAAGAGATTTGGACTACCTAATTTACAACACACAACCAACAGTTTAGTCCATTAAAAAGAGGCTGATTTGAAGTTACGGAATATTATTTATATATATCAAAAAAGTTATGCAAGACAATAAAATGCAAACTATTTTTGCGTCATAGTGTATCCTTTTTTTCTACAATAAAACCACCAGCCTTACGCAAAGTGCAACGTGATGCTGCACCTAGTGGCCAAAAGGTGAAATAGCATATAACAGAATGTAGCAACTAAGCCCCTTGTTGCATTAGAAATACATACATATACATATGCACTCATGTGCACATTTACTGTGTACATAATACACTCACATGCACATATTTTCCACACAAGTTTACAAAAACTATCAGTTTTTGATAGTTTTAATATTTATACTATGTTAAGATTAGAAATTAGACTACTAAATTCCTTATGGGTAGTATAAATAACCCCAAAAACAAACACAAAGAACCTGTAAGATGAGGAGCAGATTCGCAGTGCTACATTGCCCTCTACTGGTGAATCTAACACTATACTGTAGAAACAAAATGCTTAGAGGGGCAAAACTTAAAGCAGCACTATGTAACTTTTTCTGTGTTCAAAATTTGCAACATGTATATAATGAGCGAGTACATCATGAATTCATCTTCCAAACCGCGTTTTTGTCTTATTCCGAATCACTACGATACACTTATAAGTACTTATTTGGACTATTGTAGCCTGGTCGGGTCGTCACCGCTGCGGAGTAACACATACCTGCGTGAAACACCATAGACAAACTTAGAGAAGTAGCTCCGGTTGGAATGTTCTTCCGCGGGATGTGTGCAGTTCTGTTTATTAAACGCTAGAGCGCCAAAAGTTACATAGTGCTGCTTTAAACACCAAAATTAGTTTATAGCCAAAACCTAATTTCACCCAGCCTCCTAAAAATGTTGTATGCATATTGCCTATACATAGAGATTTATATAGATATATAAAAAGAAACAGTGAATTTTTATTTTATATAATATATATTACCATACATATCCCTCATGTATACTCCGGTTGACTTTGCTGTTTGCATGGTTTGTCAACATATTTAATTGGACAAGAAAGGATGTATTAAATGTATGAAGACTCCCTTTATTAACCACCTAAACTCAAGGTTTTATCATCACAAACTCTGATCTTTAACCACCAAGAGAAGCACCATGAGACATCTTGTCAGAGCACACTCAAAAGTTCTCAATGATAAAGAGGATCACGGACTGTAAAGACCGTTTTAAACCAAATAAAGCAACCACCTTTCGCACTGCTTATTAGACCCACTAGTAAATAGATTTCTATTTATTTATTTTTTTGACATTTCTGTTCTACCAAATTTTCTTTTAAAACGACAGTGGTTTTTAGCACAAGCTTACTTGTTATCTTTCAGGCAATATACCCAAAGTCAATAAATAAATCACAAAAAAAGGAGCAGAGTCATTCTGTAGTACGAATGTTGGACTTTATTTACATTTACTCCCGAGCCATAAGTTTCTGCTTCTTCAGTTTCTTCTGAGAAACCTGTGAAGACAAAAAATATATATATAATTGGTTAGAGCACTCACCAACAGCAGCTACTAAGATATCAAGTCCTCCACACATTTAATGCACAACGGCTGCTCAGAAAACAATTCTTTTCATCATTAATCCAAAGGTGTCCTAAGATGTCATCACTACAGCCAAGTGTACAGTTTGTAGTTTTTTTTTTCTCTTTAGAAGAACATTAATGTCCATACCTTTTTCTTCTGAGAAACCTCTTCCTCTGGTTTGGGAACAATCTGCTCTTTCTCAGTGAGGATCATTTCGATGTGGCATGGGGAGCTCATGTAGGGGTTGATGCGTCCGTGCGCACGGTAAGTACGCCTGCGCATCTTTGGAGCCTTGTTCACCTGGATGTGCTCGATCACCAGAGAGTCCACATCCAAACCCTACAAGATCACAATGTGGGATGATATAAAGCCCGTACGGATGTGAAAGCTACATTCATGCAAGCTAGTTTTAAATCATACACAGAGGCAACAATGCTGTCTAATTCTAACAAATATTCATTCATAGTGTAACGGCTCATACAGTCTTACCTTGAGCTCAGCATTGCTTTCTGCGTTCTTCAGCATGTGGAGCAGGAACTCAGCACTTTTCTTAGGCCAACGTCCCTGAGTCCAGTCATGCTGTTTGGCCTAAAAATGGAAAACATCACAAGTAAGCTTAAGCTATCTTAATTTGAGCAACACTCTCATTCTAGAGTTTGGGGTCAGTAAGTTAAGAAATTAATACTTATTTTTTAAACAAGGATATGTTAAAATGATCAAAAATGTTTGAGCAAATGTTTGAACTAATAATTTCACAATATTGCTGTTTTACTGTATTTTTGATCAAATAAATGCAGCCTTGGTGAGCATGATTTTTTTTTTGAACCAAACCCAAACTTTTGAATAATAGTGTACATGTTGCTCAGACAAAGAGGTGTTTTCATGGTGAATTCCAAAGGTGTCCTAAGATGGTCATCACAACAACATGGACAATGGTTTTAAAAGGCAGCTTTAAAACCGGACAAAACCTCACCTGAGCACAACGACCAACACCACCGTTGTAACGACGGAAGGGCACACACTGGTGCTTAACCATAACATCCTTCAGGTACTTGTTAGCCTTGCGGATGTGCATGCCTTTGATGGCCTGGGCGGTCTCACGGGTGTTCTGAGGACCAAACATCAAGACAACACTTAATAACAGATCACCAAGTAAACCAGCCTCCATTACTTTACAAACTAGAAATGTGGCTACTCAGAAAATACTTAACCCTTTTCACAAATACTTCAAAGGTTGGTTATTATTGCAGCCACAATGTACATTTGCAACATCTGCTTATCCTACAAGCAATTCTATCCAGATATAGAGTGCAGAAGGTGAGTACCATTAAATAAAAACCTCATTCATTCTCTCCATGAGTTCTGAGGTTAAACAACGACAAACCATAAGTGTGATTGCAAAAAAAAAAAAAAAAAATTCCCAGTGAAGAACTACACTTCCATAATTGAAGTAGCTATTGGAATTTACCAACAAACAGCATCATGTGGTCACTGAATCAGCACTATAATGAAGCATTGCAAAGGATGCAAATCAAGTCAGCCTCAATACAACACTTGCAAATATTTGATTTTTTAAAAAAAATTGTATGTACTTATTGCATATTTTTAAACAAATGACTGTGAACTAAGAGTTTTTGGTGCATAGTTCCCTCAAAACCCAATATATAAAACTTTTTTGCTCCAAAACAAAGCTTCTAATTTGATTAATCTCAGAATTAGTTAGTTTGGTCATAAATTACAAGTGAGAATTTTTACATTCCTATGGAGAAAATTAATTCAGAATATAGTTTTATAAACAAGGCTGTACTCCAGACGCATCACTGAATGTCAGCATCTTGACAAGCCTTTAGATCAGGGGTGTCCAAACTCAGTCCTGGAGGGCCATGTCCTGCAGAGTCTAGCTCCGACCCTAATTAAACATGGCTGAAAGTTTCTAATATGGCTGAAAGTTTCTAATATGCCTGGTAAGAACTTGATTAGCTAGTTCAGGTGCTTTTAATTGGGTTTCAGGTAAACTCTGCAGGACACCAGCCTCCCAGGAGCAGGACTGGACATCCCTGCTTTAGACTGTAGCATGAGCGGGTTCATTCTTACCTTGAAGTGAACACGAAGGTTGGAGCCCCTCGACTTGCATGCTGCAGAACACAAAAACAATTACCACAGGTTCAATACAGAGCAGCCATATGGTTAAAAACGTAGCTGCCAACTCACATTTAGTCGGGTTCTCTGGGTCGAGTGAGTAGCGGACCATTTTCAGAGATCTAGAGAAAATGAATGACGCCGGATGGTTAGAACAGGCGTAGAAGACACCAAACTCAAACAAGACAACTGTGGAGAACAGAAAAATAAAACATTCTGACACTAGCATAAATACTATGGGCACCGCATGACGCATAGACAGAAACTGCCATGTCTGGCTACAATTTATATTTCCCGTCTTTAGAATCCAGAGTTCCGTTTTTAATTGGTAAACTCGCACATGCAACGACATTCATTTACAAACAGCCCCTGTACAACGCCGAGAACAGCCGACCGTTTAATAACATTAGAAATTTCGCTTAAACGACGAGTCATATTCTCTGAAAACGTTAACTATAACCCAAGTAAATAGGTCGATGTGTTATTTCGACATAAAAACTTGTGATGATGGTGATACAAAAGGGATTATTTCGAACATCGCTGCAATGGGATGCTTATGGGTACTTACGTTCTCAGGCCGCGGAAGGGAAGAGGAAGTGAAAGGCATTCTGGGAGATCAAATCCATTCTGGCTTCTTCATGGAATGTCAGCTGTAGAAACGGGCGCTTTGATAAATTAGTAGCGCCGCCCAG